GGCAGGGAACATTCTAGGTACAGTTGTAGTTAGTGTGGCCCTTATAATCCTGAAGCCTATAGAGTGTTATGGAAAGTTTCCTGTCTGCATTAAACATATACCTACATGGGGGTGGCATTTTCATAAAGACCCCACAACTGTATGAATAAATATGTTCATTTTACTAATACCACAAGATGAACTAAGTTTAAAAATTAACTACTTAAAGTCGACTGGTACATTTTCTCCTAAAACATACCATTGCTAGTGGTTCCAGTGGAACAAGTCAGCCGATTCTGTATTTCCATTACTCGGCACTCAGTATCCCAAGACCATTGGCATCTCCAGAATAGCCTACCAGCCAACTGTACCCTATTTCTCATCCCTCCTAGCTTTTCAAGCCAATGTCCAATCACTGAAGTGTCTCTAAAACCTTCCATCAAATCTCTCTCCTCAGGGTCATCATCATTTACCATTTCAGGTGACTGGCTTGCATTGCTAATTCCAAAATAATGTTAGCATATGGAAATCTCAAATACATTTTTTCTTCCTTTCCTTATGCTTACCCTCTCCTGTATTTGCTTATTTGTCTCTCTGGGCTATACTCTACAGTATGCCACCTTGAATCTATGTGAATGAAATTTTAAGAATCTTGGGCTGAACCCGATTTCACTTTATTGCTTGAACTAAATGTCTCACTGGCTTCAGCACCTTGTGAACTCACTCAAAACCTTGTGTTGCATTATTTTCATATTGACTAAAATTATCTGAAATTGATATCTGCCATCAAATATAGAATTGTTTTAGGATACTTTTGCCTTAAAACAGAGTGTTACTGCGTTCCATGGCTTCTCTAGAAGTCCCCTCACAAAAACCTCCTTGCCTTTGCTGTGACTCAATGAATACAGTGCATTTCTCAGTATTGTCTTTCCTATTTACTTCATCCCATGTGTTGCTGTTAACAATCTGCTCTTTCTCTGCAAGGTAACTGTTCCCTTCTCAAGACACAAACTCACTTTTTCCTCAGTAGACTCAGTAATTTGCTTTAAAATTCATCTTACTTGAACTTTTAGCAGCTATAGTGAATAGTTTATGTCAACATGACACTTGCTAAAGTAAGCAGAGCTCCTCTATGGCCTCTGCATCAGCTCCTTTCTCTAAGTTCCTGATCTGTTTGAGTTCCTGTCCTGACTACTTTAGCTACGATGCAGAAGCACAAGTCAAATAAACACTTTCCTCCCCAAGTTGCTTTGGGTTTCATTAGAGGAATAATAACCCTAACTAAGATGGTCACTTTTTATTATATTTATTCATATCCTCTCTTTATGAAAACCCTCTCTTCCTTAGCATTTTGAGGTAGCCTAGAGTATTAGTTACTTTTCTGTTGCAGTAATTCAACACCAAGACAAAGGCAACTTACAGAGGGGAATGTTTATTTGAACTCATGGTTCCAGAGGGATGAGCATCCATAATGGGGGGCATGTAGTAGGCATGCTGATGGGAATGAAAACTGAGGGTTCAAATCTCAAACAGTAAACAGGAAGCAGAGAGCAAACGGGCTGGTATGAGGTTTGTGACACCGAGGCCCCCTCCTCTCCAGTTATGTGCATCCTCCAGCAAGACCACATCTCCTAGTCCTCCCCAAACAGCACCAACCATCAACTCAGAACCAAGTGTTCAAACGGCAAGAGCTTATGGGGAACATTGGGTTTTTGTTTATTTGGCTTTGGCTTTTTGACGCAGGGTTTCTCCTTGTGGTCCTGGCTATCCTGGAACTTGCTCTATAGACCAGGTGAGCCACGAACTCAGAGATCATTCTGCCTCTGCCTCCCAAGTGTTGGGGTTGGGGTTGAAGGGTATGTGGCACCATTGCCAGGTGGGAACCATTCTTGTTAAATCACTGTATCTGTTTTTCTGAGGTTCAATAACATTGGGATTAGAGAGAGTAAAATGTACATATTTAAAGGATTTGTTATTGTTTATTCTTGTTTGTAAACTTTTTCTCCAGCCTTTCTGAAGCTCCCTTTGTCACCCTATCTAAATGTTGGAAGATCCAGGATATGTCTTTAGCATTTTCTTCAGTCTTTTCTCAAGTGCTATGGAGTTGGGAGTCAGTAACCGAATTTAGACACCTTCCCTGCCTCAATCTGTAGCTCTTTGGTTCCTAGAGTGACCACCTGCTCCTGGATGAATCTTACCCTCAGAAGGCACACATGGTCACAAAGTATGTTTGATTCCTTCCCCAATGCTCTTTTCAGTTTTCTCTTAGTTATGATTGTCGTTTGTCTTCATATGAAGGATGCTAGAAGACACTTACTGGATCCCGTATTCACGTCCTGCTGTCTCCATATGTGCATATGAGCATCGTCTACCAACACTTGGTCCTCATGTACCATCATTAGTAAAGACCTCATCACCTCTCACTCACACCCAAAACATCCCACTGCGCCTTCTCTTTCCATCTACTCTGTCATTGTCTTATCCTTTAACCACACTTCTCTGCTTATAATAACCAGGTGGTATATTTATGCATTTTTCACATATGTGTATGTATGGTATGGTTGCCTGTGTGTATGCATGTTTGTATGTGTCCCAGGGCATCCGTTCACATTTTAATGTGTGACAGTACATATGAACGTTTGCATGTACCTGTGGAAGCTACAGCTTGACATTGAATGTCATCTTGGACAATTTTCCACTTCGGCTATAGAACCAGTATGTCCCTGAAGCACAGGCTTGCCTGTTTAGTTCATTTAACGACCCGGCTTGTCCCGGTATCTACCTCACACGCACTGAGATAACAGTTCTGGGGATCTAAGCTCTAGTCCTTGTACTTTTCCCTCTGAGCCATCATTTTAGCTCTGGCCAGGGTTATCTTAAAAGATGAACAAACTTGTGCTATCACCATGCTATTGACTGTTCAGCAACAACACAAAGTCACCCCTTAGCAGAACATAGGGGAAAGAGTGGGACGTGACTGAACTGTCTCTGATGTCACCCATCACTCTACTTCTCCGTACTCTGTGGTCTCCTGCAGAGCTATTCCCATTTCTGTTTCTGCAACTGAAACTTCTCCCAGCTTACAACACTTCCTGTCTTACCCTCCGCCTGCCTTTCCTCCTTTTTATTCTTCATCCTGACTGCAGTTTCCTTTTCCTCCTATATGCCCCGCTAGCCTCCCCACCCCCAACCTCTCCTCCTCAGTCTCCTTTCAGAAAGGGGCAGGCTTTCCATAGGCATAGTACAAAGCAGGGCACATCAAGTTGAGGCAGGAACAAGCTCCTCCCCCTGCATCAAGGTTGGTTAAGGCAACCTAGCATGAGGAATAGGTTCCCAAAACCCAGCTCAAGTGCACAGATAGGTCCTGATCCAACTGCTAGGAGTCCTAAGAACAGACCAAGCTACACAACCTACACATGATGAAGGCTTTATGATGGCAATTAGTCTAGTCACCAATCTAATTATAGGAGAAGGCCAGTTCATGCACCATCTCGACTATTGGTAGGCGTCTTAGCTGCGTTCATCCTTGTGGGTTCCTGGGAGTCTTTCTGGCAACAGATTTCTCCCTGACCCCCAAACACACCCCATACCACCAAGATATCTTTCATTACTCCCCCCCAGTCCTGCCTAACCAGATCCCTCATGTCCTACACCATCCCCACACCACCCCCAGTTTACGCAGGAGATCTCCTCTATTTTCCCTTCCAAGGGAAATCCATGCATCCCTCTTTGGGCCTTGCTTGTTATCTAGCCTCTCCCAGGCTGTGGATTGTAGCCTGGGTATTCTTTCCTTTACAGCTAATGTTCACTTATGAGTGAGTGCATATCATATTTGTCTTTTCTGGGTCTGTTTTACTTTAATGTGATTTTTTTCCCAGTTCCATCCATTTGCCTGCAAATTTCATGGACAGCCTCCAAAATGGTGTCATTGTTTTTTACAGCTGAGTAATATTCCATTGAGTAAATGTGCCATCTTTTCTTTATCCACTCTTTAGTTGAGGGGCATCTAGGTTGTTTCCAGGTTCTGGCTATTATGAATATTGATGCTATGAACATAGTTGAGCAAATGTCCTTGTGGTATGAGAGTTCGTCCTTTGGGTATATGCCCAAAAGTGGTATCGCTGGGTTTTGAGGTGGATTGATTGCCAAGTTTCTGAGAAACTGCCATACTGATATCCAAAGTGGCTGTAACAGTTTACACTCCCACCAGCAATGCAGGAGTGTTCTCCTGACTCCACATCCTCTCCAGCATAAATGATCATCAGTGTTTTGATCTTAGCAATTCTGACTGGTGAAATCTCAGAGTTGTTTTGATTTGCATTTTTCTGATGGCTAAGGATGTTGAGCAATCTTAAGTGACTTTTGGCCATTTGAGATTCCTCTGTTGAGAATTCTGTTTAGATTTATACCCCATTTTTTGTTGTTGTTTTGCTTTTTGAGACAGGGTTTTTCTGTGTAGCTTTGTAGCCTATCCTGGCACTTGCTTTGGAGAGCTGGCTGGCCTCAAACTCACAGAGATCCACCTGCCTCTGCCTCGAGAGTGCTGGGATTAAAGGCATGTGCCACCAACGCCTGGCTGTATCCAATTTTTAATTAGATTATTTGTTATTTTGAGTTCTAGTTTCTTTATATATTTTGGAGATCAGTCCTCTGTTTGATCTGGGGTTGGTGAAGATCTTTTCCCATTCTGTGGGCTGCCATTTTGTCTTGTTGATTGTGTCCTTTGCCTTACAGAAGCTTCTCAGTTTCAGGAGGTCCCATTAATTGCCAACCTTAGTGTCTGTGTAGGAAGTGGTCTCCTGTACCAATTTGTTCAAGGGTACCTCACACTTTCTCTTCTATCAGGTTCAGTGTTAACTGGATTTATGTTGAGGTCTTTGATCCATTTGAACTTGAGTTTGTGCATGGGGATAGATATGGATCTGTCTGTAATCTTCTACATGTTAGCATCCAGTTGTGCCAGCACTATTTGTTGAAAACTGTTTCTTTTTTCCATTGTATAATTTAGTTTCTTTTTCAAAAAAAATATGGAATGCCTCAGAATTTGCATGTCATCTTTGCACAGGGCCCAGGTTAATCTTCTCTGTATTGTCCCAATTTTAGTATCTGTTCTGCTGAAGCACAGCAGAAGCAAAGGGCATTCTGGGATTTGCAATCCCATGACCTTGCCTAAATGAGATTAGCCCATCAGAGAGTTCCCTTCTGGTGGGCTACCATCTAGAACTTTAATTACCACCCACTCTTCCTCTGACATGGCCATCATCAGGCTGGTAATGGGGGGGGGAATAATGGGATGGGCAGAGTTGGGTAGCAGAGTGGGTCTTGGGGGAATGGAATCTAGTGGGTGCAGTGGTGACAACATTGTTTCTTAACTCCACCCAGAGCAGAACTTTAAGATGGCTCCTTAACAGTCCACTCTTGACTCCCCAGATGAAGATCCCATGTAGCTCATCACACTACCAGTAATCCTTTTTAATTGAATAACTTCATAGTCATTTTCCTATTGCCTTGATATGAACATCGTGACAAAGATAGCTTATAGAAGGCTGGGTTTATTTGGGGGTTCTAGTTCCAGAGGGATGAGAGTCCAACGTCAGGGTTTTGAAGCATGGCAGCAGACAGGCATGGTGGCTGGAGAAAGAAGCTGAAAGCTCACGTGTCTAATCACAAGCAGGAACGGGAGCTTGAGGAGGGCTTACTACAGCATGAAGTCAATGTCTTTACACTCTCAAAGGCTGCTTCCACCAAGGCCACACACCCTAAACCCACACAAACGGCTCCATCAGTAATGGTTCAGTGTTCAGATAGCTGATGATGGCAACATTCTCATTCATATCCCAGAATGTTTCGATATGTAACTGGGCCTGGTGGCTTAGGCCTTTAACCCCAGTACTTGGGAGGCAGAGGCAGGCAGATTTCATAGTCTTTGAGGCCAGTTTGGTTTATGTAGTGAGTTCCAGGATAGCCAGGTCTACATGGAAAGACTCTGGGTCAAAAAACCAGGGCTGGGGGAGATATAATTTTTGCTTCCTTCATGAGAATATAGATTCTCTGACAGGTTAATTACTATATTCTCATCTCTTAGAATAATATGAGTAATGGTTTCTCTGTCTATTGATCAACATTGTGCTCTGTGTAGTTAAACAAGCACTGAAGTCTTTATAATTGACTTTAATCCTGGAGGGCTCAGTAGACCAATGTGTTCCTACAACTGGGACTGAGAGATACCTGCTGGACACAGGAAGGAAGGGGGGAGTGAAGAAGGTAGACAGGGAGGGAATGAGAGAGGAGCAGAAAGAGTTGAAAACATTGGTGAGTTTTCCTTTTTCTGTATAGAGTCCTAGACACTTAGATGGGGCAAATGACCCCATGAGTAAGTGCTGACAGTGCACTTTGGCTTTAGGGCACATGTCTAGTAGTTTTCCATAAAAGGTCGGCTTTCTGTGAAGGTTTCATGTATGGGTACATATTTTGCTGTAGCAGACAAGGTGAGTGTTCCTTTAAGAGTCTTTGAAGTCTGATATTAAATAGACTCATATGCAAGTTTAATTATGTCAAACAGGTTGAAATGCAAAGGCGCCCTCTGGTGGTTTCATTTATACACATGGGGGGGGGAATGCAGTGTGAACACTCTGGCAGCTGTGGAGGCAAAAGGAGGTCTTCCTTGAATTGCTTTAACATCTGTGTCACTGTTATCCATGAACTGGCCACTTGAGGAAACGTAGAATTCTCTTACGGATGCAACCTACTTAAGGACCATGTTTTATGGGTTACCAATAATCTTTAATTCCTACATCAATTTCTTTTTGTACTGCTATAATCCTCCCAACTTTTAAAAGTGTGGTGGCTTTAATCTTTAAAACATTCTGTGCTGGGCTTCTGTATATATTTGCACTTTGAACGTGTGGATAGTTTTCACATTACTTGCACAGCACCCATAACATAGTTCTAGGACACGATTCTGTGACTGTGTAAATTGTTTTTGATTCGTATTCACTTTTACTTAAAAATGCTTTTCATGCAATATAGTTAATTATGTTCTTTTCCCTCCTCCTGCTCCTCCGGAATTGCCCCAAGGCCCTACTCAACCATCTTCATGCTCACGCTCCACACCACTCCCTACAGAAAAGGGAGAAACAACAAAGTTGTTTTTTGAAAATTTCACAAGAGTACTCCAGTTGTCATTTCCTTTCTTCCAATTCTTTCCATGTCGTTCTCACTTCTCAGATTCATATATTGTTTTTTAAAAATTATTCTTCCTTGTATTACATCCCAAAAGTAGTTTCCCCTCTTTCTGCTCCTCTCTGTCCCTCCCCCAACTTCCCCAGGGTATCAAACAACAGAGCATATCAAATCGCAATTAGACTAGACATATCCCCTCATATTAAGGCTGGATGAGGCAACCCTGTATGAGGAATCGGATCCCCAAAGCAGAAAACAGAGTGAGAGACAGCCCCCGCTTCCACAGCTAGGAGTCCCAGAAGAAGACCAAACTTCACAACCGTAACATATATGCCTAGGCCAGATCCATACAGGCTGCCTAACTGTTGCTTCAGTCTCTGTGAGCCTCTGTAAGCCCTGCTTAGTTGATTCTGTCATGTGTGTTCTCCTAGTGCCCTTGACCCCCATGTCTACTATGTAATCATGCAATTCTTGTTTTTTCCTGGTATCGATGAAAATACCACTCTTCTTCCTGGTCACATATGGGGGACATGAGGCATTTATTATAGTTTTACCTTTGTTCCTCTGATAAACTTTCTTTATGTATTTTATATTCTCTATGACTTGTAATTCCATTTTACTTTTAGCTCTAAATAGGTGGGTCTGCTCATCTTCCTTGAAGAAAGCAAACCAAAACAAAAGTTATCCTTTAACTCTTCATTTAAAGCTGCCTTTTAGAAATTCCCTTAAAAGCAAACATTTAGAAGAGAATTATTAACCAGTCTCTTCCTGAGGTACTTACATAAAACTAAACTTGCCTTGTCTTCTTTTCCACCTTGCTGTTTGCTATCTCTCCTGGTTATCATGATAAAGCTGCTCATGGTTCTAGAGTCTCCTTTCTTAGATGGTATAGTACACCCAGCTATAGCCGAATCCTACTCATTGTTACCATAGAGGGACCTTCCCTCCCCTTTCTGGCTTTCTTCAAGGGCCGTGTCTGAGCCCATTTTGCTCTGCTTTCAGGCATGGTAGTCTCCTTATTTGTCATGAACTTGACAAATATTTCTAAAAGGAGACTGTGATATTTTCATTCATTTATTCACTAACTATTAGCATGTCACTGTAGTCTGAACATCTGCAGCCTTCTTCCCAAGATCTGGTGCGACTGATTTTGGTTTTAAGAAAGAAGATAATGGATTTTTATCTCTGTTGGCATGAGAAAAATATACTCAGTTTTTGTTAAAACTGGAAAATTGCCTATCAATCTCCTTCCAGAAGTCTAAAACACTATACTGTTTCATATTTTATTATTATTCCCATGAATATTATAGTCATTTCTCATGCAATATCCTACAAGTGAAAGCAATAACACTCAACATACATGGTTATGCAAATTGTGTGCCTTTGTCTTACTTGTTATACATAGTACATACAATTTTTTAATTTCAAATTTTTAATCTTAAAAAGTTGTTCAAGTTGTGCTATTCCCCCCACCCCCATGCATTGTAACATGATAAATAAAAACCCAAAGCAGATATTGGGGTTCAGGCTTCAAGCTGAAAGTCAGAAAAGCAAAGCAGCTGGCCACTAGCTCTCACCTCTACCTCAGGCTGAAAGGGCTGTCATGGTGTCCTCAGCGGGGCTGGAGACTAAATCTCTGAGACTGAATACTGAGTGCTCCACTCCTATCTTATATGTCTCTCTAGAGCTGAGATTAAAGGCGTAGGATCCCAAGTGTTGAGATCTCCTTTGTGTGAGCTGTTTCTCTTTTAGACTATAACCCTGGGTGACCTTGAACTCAGAGATCTATCTGCCTTTGTCTCCTGAATTCTGGGATTAAAGGTGTGTGCTACCACCACTGCCTGGCTCTATGACTGTGGCTATCTTTGCATTTTGATTGCCAGTGACTTTATTAAATCATAGAAATATACCACCATAATGCATACATTCTCTTTGGTTCATATGCCTGTTTGTGTGTATGTATGTGCACGTGGGCAGGTGTGATTGTGTATGTACATGCGAGGCCTGATGTTGGTGCTGGGAGTGTCCCTAACAACTATTCATCTTAATTAAATCAGGGGCTCTCAGTGGGGCCCACAACTTGCCTGGCTCCTCTGGTTACCAGGCTTGCTTTGGAGACTCATTACCTCCCCTATACTGGAATTACAGGTCAGCCCCACCAGCTGATGTTTGTGTGGGTTCTGGGGATCAAGATTCTGGTCCTGAAGCTTGTGTGGCAAGCACTTTAACCACTGACCTATCTTCCAAGTCCTCCATGTGTACTGTTAATAAAATCCCTAAGCATACTGTTGCTGGAGAAGCCAGGACACTGCTAATAGGCATGAGATGAAAACAAAGATGTTCTTTGTAAACATCTGAAGGTTATCAGTAGAAACCCTTTGATGGCCTGAAGACTTGGACAAGAGTGAGTGTACAGACCGTGTGTGTGTGTGTGTGTGTGTGTGTGTGTGTGTGTGTGTGTGTGTGTGTGGCTGCATGGTTATACTGAGACTTGGGAAAGCTAGCTAAGTTACAAGGAGTTGTTGGAACAAATACTTGATTGGAGTGGGAGGAGTGACATGAATTAGGAGTGAGTGAGAGGCATTTCAGGGTGAGAGGGAGCTTGAATATCAGCAGGAAGCCAGCCTTGGAACTTAAAGCAGGAGTTGACAAGAGGAACAGAAGAAAACAATTTTTTTTCAGGACACTTCAGACTGATTACAGGGGAGAATAGTAGAGATCAGAGAGGAAGGAAAGGAGAAAATTGCAGTATTAAGTCAAAGATGAAAAATTGTCGACAGAAGTGTGAGGCTTTTTTTCAATAGGAAGAAGGTACAAGTATTGCAATGCACACCCCCCCCCATTTGGTTCACCTCGGGGGAGCGAAGGTGGCAGCCTAATGTCCTGCTAGCAGGGCCTCTCTGCTCCTTTCAGATAAAATGTGAAGCAGAGCTCCTGACAGAAAAAGTCCAACACAGGGCCTTTGAAATTCACTTGCTGTCACTGGAATCTTCTGTGCCTACTTGTGTCCTTGGATGCAATTTAAGCTATTCTCCAAGTTTTTGGCTAATGCATTTTCTTTTGTAGCTGCAATGAATGTAAACATAATGAATATAAAAATCGCAGAATGCTGATATTTTTAACTCCCCATATTCCTACCTAGAAACCAGCTCAGTAGAAGACATGCCTTTGGCTCTAACACAGGAGAGGGAGAGTAAGATAATATTTTTTTCTCCCCACTTTGACATTCAAAGTCGTTTGCCCCCTTGAATTTAGAAAAGAGATAAGTGAGACCCATAAAAGCTCTCATGTTTCCTTTGCCTTACGCTGTGGCCAGCCACAATGGATCCCTATGATTTTGAAACTTTCCTGCCATACTCTAGACATGCCTAACCCCGTGGACCTGCATCGTCTGCCCTGAGTTCTTGTTCCTAGGGTTGTTGACAATGAAGATTTCCCTTTCTATTTTAGCACCTGGAGAATATATTTACACTCCACTACCACTGTTTTTCAGCTTCAGGGATTAAAATTCCTTTTGAACTTTTTAATATCTTGATCTTACTTTTCATTTAAAATAGTCCTCTCTTAAGTAATTGATCTTACTTCTACCTGAACTCTATAAACACAGTCACTACTTAAATTCAGAATAAAATTTAGGTCCTTGAGAATACTAGTGGCTTTTAACCACAAATCTACATGAAGTAGACATTTTTCTCTCTGGTTAAACTTATGAAATGCTGTCCTGTGCCTTTTTAAAATTTCAACTATTCCAATTATCTAATAAACACACATTTTTAGACTTCCTCTTCCTCAAGATCTGTTTCCAGTGTACCCTTCCAATATAATTTTTTTTTTTTTTGCTGTTTCCTACCTCAACAATTTCTTTCTAGGAAAAACAAAATTGTAGCCTTATTCTATGTCAGAGCCATGTTGCTGGTGGTTCTTGTCACACCACGCCCTGCTGCCCTTCTCAGCCCCAAATAAGCACAAAATGACTTATATTAATTATTAAACTGTTGGGCAGTGGCTAGGGCTTCTTACTGCTTAGCTCTGTCTTAATTATTAACCCCTTTCTATAATTCTATGTATTTCCATATGCCTCTATCTTATCGGAGAACGACTGGGGTGACCTACCCGCCCTGGCCCTCCTGCATCTCCTCTCTGCCTACCTTTCCCAGAGTTCTCCTTGTCTCCTAGTCCCGCCAATCAGCGTTTTATTCATCAACCAATAAGAGAAACACGTATACAGAAGGACATCCCCCATCAGAGCCATGCTGTCTTAAACCTTCCTCTGATAGCATTTGCGTTTCTCATTCTCTGTTCTGAGATGATTATCAAATAGGTCTCTAACGGTATTTATTTCTCTACAGTAATCTTCCCTTTCGGGCATCTACTCCTGACTCTGAGTCCCAATGGTCCTCCACAAGCCTGCTCTCCCCTCTTTCCACATCCTGACCATTATCTCCCTTGTAATCATGTGAAAATAGTAACTGTCTGTTTGGCAGCTTTTCCTACTGGTGTTTTACCTTGATATCCCAAGTCATATGACATTTCCACCCCAAGAAATGCATTTGCTTACAGAGTGCATGCCCATACAACTTGTGCATGGCAAGTTGTTGCATCTTTTTGCTAATCTAGACCTTCTGAAGTATTTGTGTTTGCTTTTTCTGTCTTTCAAACTTCCAGTTCATCCTTTGACTTGCTCTTCAGATATAACTTCCTGAAGCATTTCCTCAAGTATTCCAAATACTATTTAACTGCCCATTTTCTGTGTAACTACACCAACGCTGCTGACTTTAAACCTGTCCTGCAACTAACTGCTTCTGTTATGAAAACCTGCAATGACTGCTTTACACTTGTGAATTTAATTCAACCATGCACGAATAAGTATTCCTAGAAGTTAACACAATGCCATTTAATAAGTGCTTATTTACAAGTTGGCTGCATAGAAATACATCTCAACATATCCCTACCTAACAGATGCTCCAAGTCTCACACATGACAATTTAGTACTTTTAGGGGTAATCTCATGTTTTTCACTTCCCATCTTTCTCCAGGATCCCAAAACATGCCCAAAGACACCATTTGTTACTCTACCTACTTTGTGTTTTCTAATACAATTTGCCTTGACATGACTTTAGATCACATTCTGTTCCAACTTGTAAGCTCTGTTAGAGAAAAAGTCATTCATCTTTTGTCTCCTAACATTTAGCACAGGAGCTTCACAAATTTTAGAAGTAAAATAAATATGGCTAGGAGGAAATGTCTACACAGTTACTTTATATGTATCCCAATATGGAAAAATCAAAGAAACTGAGAGTTTGAGATCTTTGGAATAATCTAGCATTGTCATCTGATGTAGTAGACGGTTGAGTTCTCAAGGAGGCTCTGTGGTATTTTTAAGGTCTCAGAACTATGAAGGAAAGTCAGGCAAGTAAAGTGTGATTGTGGCACAATGCTGTTGCATTTGTTTCAGACATGGTGTATACTGTTCAACTAAACTTTATTAGTTTTGTTGATACCATAGATGCTGAGTCAGTTTTCCAGTGATAATTATAGAAACCAAGTGTTCATTGCTAGAAGACTAGCAAAAAAGGCATTCCCCCTCCCCAAGATGGTTTCTCTTTGTAGCCCTGTCTGTCCTAGAATTTACTTGCTAGACCAGGCTGGCCTTGAACTCAGAGATCTGCTTGCTTCTACTTTCCAAGCCCTGGGATTAAAGTTGTGCACCATCACTGCCTGGCTATAATCATTGTTTTTTGTTTTTTCATTTTTGAAGACTATAACATCCTCGAAATTACATCAGTGTAAGGAAGATAAAGAGGGTTTATAAAATGAGATTTTATGTCATACAATATTGTATGTACTCATTTTCTACAAGACTTGGTGGTACAGGCCTACCATCCTAGTTACTTGGGAGGTTGAGACAGGAGGATAGCAAGCTCAAGGGTAGCCTGGATCACTTGGAACCTTGCCTCAAAATACAAAATAAAGTAAGGCTGGGATGCAAGCTCATTATAAAGTGTTTGCCTAGCATGTATGAGGCCCTAGCTTCCATCCATGAGTTGCAAAGAAACCACAGGCTTGTTGTCTTTTCTCAGAAGACCTAAGGAAGACACTGCAATGTTTGATTTTATCCTTAGTACTCATTAAAATTGATTGCGTATCAGCAAAAATTATATCATCTTACACAAATGTAAAGCATGATGAATATCTATTTTGAGTAAGCAGTCGTGTTTATAGAAAAAGTTCAGTTTTTCCTTCCTTTTGTATACTCTTATCATGTGTATTCCAGCCTGTATCAATATTGATGAAACTGATTTATCATTATTGCCACTGTATTCAGATGCATTGATTCAAGCATTACATAGGTCTTGCAAGTTAAAGTACAAGGGTGAACATGACATTGTTTCATGGCCTGTGGAAGATTGGAGTCTCAGAAATGCTGGAACATGTTTATAACTGCTTTCTGATGTTTTCTGTTTGAAAGGTGAATAAGATTTGTGGCCATCCAGTGAGAACAGCTACACAGAGCCCCCGCTGTACTTTTGATCCAAGGAAAGAGAAGCACGGGATGAAGGTCTCTGCAGGGAATGGTGAGGAGACACTTGCCAACAGAAGAAAGTAAGACATTTGTTTTACAACCAGAAAGAGAAAGTGAGCCATTAATTCTACAGGAGAACAGAATGTGTTCCTTACATAGACCCAGGTGTAGTGTGGAAGAAAACAGTTAAATGCTGTTTCACTTTATTTAATGTGTAGTGGGCTAATGTACTGGAGAGAGCGTTCAGGGCTGAACACTTGCTGTGCTTGCAGAGGACCTGGGTTTGATTCCTGGCACTCAGTCAGGCTGATTACGACTATCTGCAGCTACAATTTCAGGGCCTCTGAAACTCCTGCTGGCCTCCGTGTGTACCTGCACACACATGGCACGTACATAGACAAACAGGCCCATGTAAACATACATAAAAACAAAAAAACTTAAAGTTCCATGGCTTGGCCACTTGTTTATATCAAGTGGTAAGCATTTAGAAGCTTGCAATTCACTGTGCCTGTCACTATTTTACTAGGTAAGTTACAAAACCCTCTCCAGTGTTCCTTTGCTTGATAATGGGTGTTTAACATGAAAAACTATTCAAAACTAGAGGAAAACATTTCAATATTTAGTTGACTGTGTACCTCCTAGAAATAGTGGCTCTCTGTTATTGCCTTCTAAATTGAACCTACTTTCAGAATGTTATGTATGTATTAGTTCAAATAGTTCCTGCTAATGTCCCTTAGACAATCTATAGTAAAACACTTTCTCAATATCATCTTGGTTCCCCCTCATTTATTTATTTATTTATTTATTTATTTATTTATTTATTATTTATTTCTCCTCTCCTACATTACATCCTGACCAGATCCCCTGCCCTCTACTCCTCCCAGTTCCTCCTCCCCTAACCCCCTTCTACATCAGATCCACTTCTCCATTTCCTTTCTAAAAAAAGAGCAGTCCTCTGATGGACATCAAGCAAACACGGCATAGCCAGTTACAATACGACTAGGTACAAACCCTAATACCAAGGCTGGGCAAGGCAACCCAGAAGGATGAAAAGGATCTCAAGATCAGACAAGAGAGTCAGAGACACCATTGTTAGGAGTCCCACAAGACCACAAGCTACACAATCATACCCTATACACAGAGGACCTAGTGCTGACCCTTGCAGCCTCCCTGATGGTTGATTCAGTCTAGTGAGCCCCTGGGAATCCTGCTTAGTCGATTCAGTGGGTTGTGTTCTCCTTGACACTTTGGCTCCTACAGTGTTTCCAACCCCTCTCCTGTGGGGGTTCCCCTGGCTCCACCTAGTGTTTGGCTGCGGAACTCTGCATCTGCACTTCTCTGAGGACAACAGTGCTAGGCATCAATTTATGAGTATAGCAGACTATCACTAGGAATCATTTCACTGCCTTCTTTTTTTTTTTTGAGTTATATTTGGTTCTATTCTAGGTCTCTGGGCTGCCCTTCCTCTGGTTTCTAGGCACCCATTGTCCTCTGATTCCTGGCCATCAATGCTGTTCAGGATTGGGCTCCCTCTCTTTGCTTGGGTCTCAAGTTGGACTAGGCTTTGATTGGCCACTCCCACAAGTTCTGTGCCATAATTACCCTAGCACACCTTCCAGTCAGGACAGGGAGAAGTCTGTGTTTAGATCTGTACCACATTGTTTAATTGGATTATTTGCTGTGTTGAAATGTAGTTAATCTTGAGTTCTTTATATATTTAGGTTATTAGCCCCCTGTCTGATACCGAGTTGGTAAACGTTGTTTTCCCATTCTGTAGGCTGCCGTTTGTCCTGTTTACAGTTTCATGAGGTCCCACTTATTACTTGTAGGTCTCAGTGCCTGTGCTATCTGTGTTCTGTTCAAGAAGTGTTCTCCTGTGTCAGTGTGTTCAAAGCTATTCCCCCTTTCTTTTCTATTAGGTTCAGTGTATCTGGTTTTATGTTGGGGTCTTTGATCCACGTGGGCTTGAGCTTTGTGTGGGGTGATAGATATGGATTTGCAGTCCTCACCATTCAGTTTCTTTCCTTTGCTTGCAGCACACCTAATTGCCTCATTCTTTTCAGATGGACTATGGATCTGGGATCAATATTTAGTTTGCTGTTAGTTATCTGCTTGTAGCTAATATGAACTGGTATTTTGTGTATAAGTTTTTTCCAGAAACCTTTTAAATGAATGAATAACAATTACTCTCTTGTGTTTTAAAAAGCAGTATATTTTACCTTCAGAGAGTCTTACAATAAAATCTTAAACATTAAAGGTCAAACATCCATCCATATAGTCGAGTGTAAACCTTAAGATCGTGAAATCCTCAATGTGTTTTATTCACTACTGAAACTAAATGGATTCAGGTGAAAGGGTATACAGTAGCCGTTGAGTAGATCATTATGAGTCTAGCAGATTCATTGTCCTGTGTTTCTAACTGTCATACAGTATTGTTCAAATTATATAAATTACATAGATATTATATATTATATTGTGTATCCACAATTAGTTAAGACAGATACATCACAACCAAGTCTCACACTACTCATTGTGAAAAACCAGAAGGTCTTTACTTAAGTTCTGAATAGGGCTGAATTGCCATAGTAGTCTGTTTCTGCTTATTGCCTATATATTATAGAGTTCCATTCATAAACTAGTTCTGATTTTTATCACTCACTGTTTACTCTCCAAAACATTATAGATTTCAGTTGGCATAGGTGAGTCTGTGTAGCCATGACAGGCATCAGTGTACTGTCTTATCTGTGTTGTTTTACCCTCTTGAGTTTGTTATAACACCTCTCTTTCAGGGGGTCATATATTGCTTCCATAAAATATCTCAAGACAAGACAAAGTGCTTTTTATGTTTTTAATTTCTAAATAATTTTGTATCCTTCATAATTTTTCTTTTCTAGTCTTTATGATCTGCTTTATTTTCTTATTCTAAAGTTACAAACTCTTAGTTTCAAAACTTCAAAAAACATTTTTTTTTGAGACTGGGTTTCTTTTGGTGTAGCCCTGACTGTCTTGCAACCAGCTCTGTAGACCAGGTTAGCCTCAAACTTACATACTCCTGCCTCTCTCGAGTGCTGGTAATAAAGGCACACACCACCATACCTAGCTTAAAATTTCAAAAATTCATTTTACTTTCTACAATATTGTTCTCTTAAAATTTTTTCTGTTAACTAGACTACCTACCTACCTACTACCTACCCTTTGTAAGCTAATGTACCCATCTGTAGGAGTTTCTTTATGCATTCTAGGTATTATTTACCAGTTTTAGGCTTTGTAAATATTTTCCAACAATAATTATCATTAAAGTTAAATGACAAGTGACAGGGGATGAATTTTCTTGGTAAAAGCCATGGCAGGTTCTGGTGTAGCCAGTGCTGGCATTAAACTCTCTAGGTAGCTGAGGATGACCTGCAGTTCTTTTCGAATCTATGGTGCTCCTGCTTCTACTTCCTGAGTGGTGAAATTCCAGGCATGAAATTCTGTTTTAAAAGGAATTTCTTCACTTTGATTATCAAGGCAATTATCTTATTTTCTTTTAAAAATTACTGCACTCATTTCAAAATCTACATCCCATTTTTTTGGACACCTCTGCACTTTGTTTCTTTGTACTTAATAGAGAGGGAATATGTCGTATCTAAGGGGAGGTTCCCTACATTAAACATTGAAATTTCTAAGTCAGTTTTCCCACTTACTCTTGAAACAATCTGCCCTTTTCTTACTGATTTTGCTTTTATCACTTAACATTCATTCAGATTTTCACACATAAGTAACCTCCTATGATTGTGAGTCAGAGGTCTCTGAGTCATATTTTCCCTTGTTAAATACTATGATAATTTTTCTTTGGGGGATTTTTCAAAAAGTTTTAAGTCATTTTAGTATCCTTATGTACCAGAGATTCTACAATATTTTTTCTAAATAGGTTTATAATATTGTGGTTGGGTTGTGATTGGAGTTACTTCAAATACATTGATTTATTGCTATATATGTGGTGAGTTTTCTGAACTTAATTTCTGGCATTTTACTAATAGGATCAGGTTTTCCATTTTGTGATAATATTATATACTAGAACCGTGAGGTCACGGAAGCTGCTACGTCTGTAAATCTCGACCTGGATTAGATCCTATTATCTAACCTTTTAGATGGTCTCCACCAGAAACTCTTGCTCATCTACAGCAGACATTCCTGATTATTTATGGTACCAAAGAGAGGCATGCAGTATGCCTACAATAAGCAAAGCTGGAAACACGATCTATAAAAACTGGAAGCATTATGTAACAAACAATGATCACATTTCCCTTTAGGAAAGAAAGAAAAGCATGAAGTGAGGCAACGGAGGTGTGCTCTTTCTGTAAATTAAAAGCACATGCGTACAGAAATACAGTTCACAGTTATCACGCAAGTCATGGAGGCCAGGTTTCAACATATCAGAAAAAAGTCAAACCAGAGTCATAAAAACTGCCTCATAAACATCAAGGAGAAGGAGGAACCAAGCTGATTTTCCCTGAAAACAAAAGATCCAGTCTTCCTCAGTCTTTGCATTAAGGAATCCCCCTGCTTTAACCATGACAATTGAAAAACCTGCTGTGTGAGATACCTTTCTATTGCTCTCATGAGGCATCATGGCCAAAGCAACTTACAAAAGAAAGTTCATTTTGGCTTTCAATTCCAGAGTGCTAAGCATCCATTGTGGCTGGGCAGCGCAGTCACAAGCACCCATCATGGCTGCAGGAGCAGGAAGCTGAGCCACAACCACAACCGCTGGGAGTGAAACCAGGCCATGAGATCTGAGCCCCCATCCCCAGCCATGTGCCTCCTCAGTTAAGGACGGCCCCTCCTGAACTTCCATAAACCTTACCACTGTTTGGAGACGGGGCGTTCAGATACCTGAGCCTGTGAGGGACTTTGCTAATCCAAACCATCGCCTTCTGCTCCTTGGCACCCACAGGCTTGCAGCCATTCATAATGCAAAATGTATTTAGTCCAGCTTTAAAATCCCCTTAGCCTTTGTCAGTAGTAATGCTTTTCAAAAGGCCAGAATCCAGAACCTCTTCTGGTCCTCCAAGCAGTCTCTCGATTGTCAGCCCTT